ATATACAACAAAAAAAAACTAGCTCTATTAAAATAATCTGAATTTAGAAATTAGTTTGTAATAACAACCCTCATATTCCATTTAACCAGTTGCTAAAATAATTACTACTTTTTATGAATAAATTTAATCTATCTGAAGTAATCGTTGTTGCTTAATTTTCCAAAATCTATACTCATTTACCCAACACCATAATGCCAACATGCTATTTCTTTAACAATATATTTTTTTTAATAAGACATAGTTTTCAACAATACTTTCATAGACAAGACATTTTTTCAACTTTCTTTGACAAAAAATTAACCTGATTTAGCATTAGGGTTGGTCTGATTTAGAATTAGCATTGGTTAGAAATATATCAGAAATGATTGTTGGGAAATATCTTGTCTAAGAAATGAATTGTCAAAAAAATATAATGTCAAACATATATATCTTACCGGAAAAATGTGCTATAGATAAAATAGCACGTCAGCATTATGGTGTTGGGTAAATAAGTTAAGCAAATAACTTTTGGGAAATTGTGCTGTAATCGATGAAATCTGCATAATTGTGGCTTCAAGCTAATGCGATATCAATATCCTTATTTCACTTTTTATCCTAATATTGTTTTCAGAAGTATTTGTTTTTGTCATGCATATCAAGTATCTAAAGCTTACTTATCTAAACCAACGAAAGACCCTGACAATACACCACAGTGAAACGGCGAAGGAACTCTCTGTGAAGCAACAAAAGTCTTGCCATGACAAAAGTCAAAAGACCCAACGTAGACCAACCGTGGAACGATGATACAACTATGAAAAACTTACGATGAAGCAATAAAAAAGACCCACAGTGGAGCGACAAAACAACTACAAAAAACTCACAAAGAATTCACTATAATGAAAGACTTACCATAAACCCCACTGTTAAATGACAAAACACCACAGTGAAACGGCAAAGAAACTCTTCATGAAGCAACAAAAAAAGTCCCACCATGACAAAAGACCCAACATAGGCCAACGAAAGACTCATCGTAAAACGATGAATAAAGCAACAAAACAACTACAAAAAACTCACTATAAAGCGACAAAAAATTCACTGTAACGAAAGAATTACTATAAATCGATGAAAGACCTACTGTTAAACGACAAAACACCACAGTGAGACGAAGGACTTACTCTGGAACAATGATACAACTATGAAAAACTCTCAATGAA